TCCACCAGGGAGGACCCAGCAGCAAACAGTGATCTGTGAACCACGAAGCGGCCGTGGACCCGGAGGTCCACTTCCAGACTCGGGACTTGCCCATTTGGAAGCCACTTCTCCTGTGGTGTTCTAACAGTCCTCCTCCCAGACAAGGGAAGTCCTGCACCCAGGACCCAGGCCGGCGGGACGGACCCCCGACCTGAGCTGCCCGCGTGCCCTGATTAGGTCTCTGCCGAGCAGGCTACTTTCACCCTCCGGTCTGGGTCACAGTGAGAAATCACATTCCCTCCGTAAATTAACTGAAACTTCAATCACAGCTGGTCACAACTGCGTGACCAGGTATGCTGGGAGGCAAAGCCCGGGCCTCGGCCCCCTCCCCTCCAGTGCGAAGCCACCCCCTTTTTCTGGAGCCTGAACAGTCTTTGGGGAGCGGAGAGTGGGACCAGCCAAGTCCAGCCTCACCGAGCGAGAACCTCCCGGGAAGCGCTCGGGGCAGGGCCTAAGGGGCGGGGCCTATTCCTGGGTGGAGCCTAAGGGGTGGTCCTAAGGAGGCAGAGCCTATTTCCTGGGCGGGGCCTAAGGGGAAGGGTTTGTTCCGGGGTGGAGCCTAAGGGCGGGGCCTATTCCTGGGCAAGGCCTGGACAGAGGGGCGAGAGCTAGAGAGAGGCGGGGTGAAGTGGGCGGCTCCCGTGGCCTGGCCTTGGGCCTCCTCACCGAGGCTCCGACCTCGCCCGCCCTCGAGGGCTGGCCTGTCCAGCCTGTGCCTGCCACATGCTGGACGCCGGGCCGGGCCCAGCAAGCTGAGCAGCCCCGAGCACAGTGACTCCGGCCTCCGCTCCAGCGTGCGAGGCGCAGTGTGCGAGACGGGGCTGGGATCAGGGGTGTCCTTGAGACAGGACACAGCGTGATCGCTCAGGCAGTCCCGCCTCGCTGTTCTCCAGAGAGCACCCTCCTGGTTACAGGGTCACTCAGTTGCATCCGCCTCCTTGCTGCCGGGTCTCCTTGCTTCCTTCTGGCCCTCACACCTCTCCACACTGGAACCCGGGCACCCTCTCTGTTGGAGGCCCTCTTGCTTCCTCCTTAGCCACACCCCTTCAGTGTCCCTCGGAGTCCCATTGTCACCCCTCATCACGTTCGGAGTCCCCATCCTGGCCTACACCTGCCATTGTTGTCCCGACGTCCCCCGTGCCACCCTGGCCTTGATCATGTCCCCCCTGGGCACCCCAGAGTGGCTCCCTGTCCTGACCCTCACCCAGCGTCCAGCCAACAGCACAAGGCGGGGCCCTCGTGCAGGGCGCCTCCCACTCCTCTGATGCACAGCCTTCCCCACCTTCAGAGCAGCCCCTTCTCAGCCCTGCCATCTTATCTCGCCCACTTCCCCCAAGCCTCTGCATTCCTCCATGGGGGACCCCAGAGTGCAGCCTTGTGAGGCTCTGGGTGCACATTTCAGGGTCCAGTGCCAGGCACAGGGCAGGTTTTATCTGTGCATGCTGATAAACAAGTCAGCTCCATGGGCTTGTGTCCACCCTCAGGATGCATCCTCAGAGCCAGACAGAGGCTCTAGCCAACTCCCTGCGTGGCCAGCAGCCCCTCCCCTCTGTGTAGTCTGACACCCAGCCCCCCACCGCCTGCTGAGCCCCAGTGTTGCCTCCAGGGAGCAGTGGTCTCTGGACCCGGTGGGAGGGCCTGGTCTCTTGCTCCTGATTCTCCAAGGGGACCAGCCCTGAAAGGTGACTCTGGGGGTCTCTGAGGCAGGGGTGAGGACGCAGCAGGCCAACAAGCCCACCTGCCTCCAGTGAGTGTGCCACCAGCCTGAGCCCTGGGCCTCGTCTGTCCCTGGGCCTCTGTGAGGCGAGGTGCCCACGGCCAGCAGCACACATCCTCCGGAGTCAGAGCTGGGCCTCCGTGGCTGAGGGCAGAGGGCAGCACCAGCTGGGGAGGGTGGCTGGACCGGCTCTGCCGGGATGCTTTTCACTGCACACGGAGTGCACTGGAACGGGGAGGCAGAGGGTCTGGCCCTCTCGGGTCACTTGCAGCTCAAGGTTGTCTTCGAAGGCGGTGTCCCCCTACAGGAGCCCCTTCCCGAGGGACCGGTGGTCAGGGTTGAACCTGGTGGGGCAGACGTTGTCCTCCGCAGTTTCCGGGGTTTGGGGGCATGGAGGGCGAGGGCCCCACCTCCTCCTGCCAGCCAGCTGCTGCTCTGGCCAGCAGAGAGCCCCAAGAGGAAATGGGGGCAGGGGCTGTGACCGTGCTCTTGGCCTGATGAGAAGCTCTGTGCTTGAGCCACAGACAGGATGACTGGGCTTGATCTCCCTGGCACCGGAGCCGTGGTCAAGGGCAGTGATGCCGCCAGCAGCCTTGGCCACATAAACGGCTTCTCTAGTGGGCCATTCGAAGCACCCCTGTGCCTGGCCCCAGAACAGCATGCCTGGTGCTAGAGGTGCGGTGGGTGATGGGTAGGCCTGTGCCTCCTGGCAGGAGAAGACCCTAGGCCAGGCCGTGGGTGGGGCACCTGCATGGGCAGAGGGGGGTTCCCACCAGCCACGCTGACCACCGTGTGGGTCCAGGGCCCTGCTGCACTGTGTCACAGCCAGGAAGTCGATCTCCCTCAGGTCGGGGCTGGTGGCCCGGCAGGGAGGTGGGTTTGGCCTGGGGCTCTGCCCTGCCCGAAGCCTGTCCGCCCTCATTCTGCCCAAACAAATCTCCCTGTGTGTCCTGGGAGGCTGAGGTGGGGCCTGGCTCCCGGAGGCTCTCAGGAGCAGCCGCCCCGCTGCCCTGGCCCAGCAGGAGCCCCCGGGTGGTCTCCTGCCTGGACTTCACGGTGCAGGTTTGTGCTGGTGCTGATCCAGCCCCTCGATTCCCCACCAGGCCCTCTGCCCCGGTGGAGCGGACACGTCCTGAGATCCATGGAAGTCTGGACGGGGCACGGTCCCGGAGCTTCCTCTCAAGCCTTGCTGATGACGCACCTGCTCCTGCAGGTGTTGGCCTAGTGGACGCTCTGCAGGACCCCTTGCTGGGGGCCTTGTGGGCCTGACTGCCTCATCTCTCAGACAGGATGCAGCCAGCTCAGCAGCAGTGGGCGGTGGCTGCCGCCTGGTTGACCACAGGATGCAGGTTTCTGTCCACCTACGCCATCACGGCAGACCCAGAGCCGCAGGGAGGTAGACAGAGACACTGGTCACCGCCTGCGACAGGACATCGCTGCCCACACTGTGGCCACTGTGGTCATTCCCCAGGCGGCAGCCACAGACACAGAGGTCGACAGCCTGGGAGGGGGTGGGACGATGTGGAAGCCTCAGCGAGCTCAGGGCCAGGGCGCCCTGCTGGGTGGACTTCACCTGGACCACAGAGGCAGGCTGTGCCATTCTCTCCCCCTCCCCTCCATCTTCCGCTCCCCCTTCCCCCTCCATCTTTCTCCCCCTCCCCCATCTTCCTCTCCCCTTTCCCCCATCATCCTCTCCCCCTCCCCCACCTCCATCTCCCTCTCCCCCTCCCCCACCTCCATCTCCCTCTCCCCCTCCCCCACCTTCATCTTTCTCTAACCCTCCCCAACCTCCATCTTTATCTCCCCCTCCCCCACCTCCACCAAGGGTTCCACCAAGGGCCCCTCCAGACTGTGGACCTGCCACCTCCCCTGCCCAGTGGGATGAGGGGCCCCAGGCCTGGAGCAGTGGCACCCTGCCAGGCAGGGGGTCTGTGGGGCCCTTTTCTGAGCCCCTCCACCCAAGGCTTCATCAGATCAGCTCAGGACCTTTGCCGGTCCACCCCTCCACCCTGGTACCCCATCTGCCCCAGACCACGTGACTCCTGGAAGGTCCCTCCTCCTGTGTCCCTGGGTGTGGGGTCCCAAACTCCTCTGGCTGGAAGAGCTGGTTCTGGTCCTTCCTCAAGAACCCCTGACCTCCACCCACTCTCGGGGATGCTCTGAGGGGCCAGAAGGGGTCCCAGGCTGGCCCTTGGGGTTCCCGGGTGGCGGAGAGCAGAAGGGACCTGGGCCTGGGGGAGAGCAGGCTGAGCCATCGTCTGTTTGTCTGTCTCTCTGCCCCTCCTCCCGGCTCGGCCCTCGTGCTCTCTCCTCGTCTCCTCGGAGGCTCCTTCTGTCTTGCTCTGCTAACCGTCTTCCTCACTCTCGTCCTGTCCCTGTCACTGTCCCCCCTTTCTTTCCTCCAAACTACCCAACCCTGCTCTCTCACCCCCATTCTCTCTTGCTTTCTCCCCATCTGTCTCTCCTTCTCTCCCATCTCTCACTTTTTTCTGTCCCAGAGACTGTATCTGTCTACAGCAGCTCCTAACACCCAGGCTGAGGCCCTAGATGGCTCCTGGGACTTCACTTCTGGCCCTTGTGGACGCCCATGTCACCTGCCGATGTAGAAGTTAACTGTCCCCCCACCTCTCCCTACACCTGGACTTGGAACTCAGAGCCAGCTGCCCACACTCGGGCCTGGGCCAGGCCTGGGGCCGACAAGGCAGCTGAGGACCAGCCCTCCCTGGCGGCAGCCGCCAAGATAATGGGGAGTGGGCCAGGGTGGGAAACAGCTGGCAGGGCCCATTGAGAGCCCCCAAGCGGAAAGCCCTAGAAAGCCACCTGGAAGACACCGCAGGCGCTCCACCTCCTACTACACGGCTGTGGGTGGCACAGAGCCCCAGTGGAGAGCTTTATTCTGGCCCTTGTGGGGCAGTAGCAGAAGGCTGGCCATCAGAGCCTCAGGCACCCGGCAGACACCCACCTCCCGGTGCCCCAAGTGTGCCAGGCTCTGGACGCAGCAGGGTCCCTGGGCTTGGCCCCGCTCAGGCCCCAGGCCTCCTGTCCTCATCCTTGTTCCGCTTCTGCCCCAGGGGGAACAGAAGCATGGGGCATGCCTCCCCAGGCTCCATGCCCAGGTTGTCCTGCTGAGTTGAGCCTCCTGAGAGTGCCCCCAGCCCACGGCCCACAGTGAGTTCAGGGCAGATCGTGGGGCTCCTTGTCTCTGGTCACTGGTCCCCCAGCAGGGGGGCCCATGGCTCATCTTCTAGGTCAGGGTCACAGTTAGAGTGTCCTTGCTCTTGTGGGCCTTGACTCTGGGGGATGTGGTTGACACAGACGCCTCCTGGAACTCCTTGGCCATGAAGTAGTAGCAGATGGCGTCCAGGCAGCAGTTGGCATCTGAGAGTCTGCTAGTGATCTTGATGGCCATCTTAATGGCACAGGTCTCCAGGCCCAGGGCCACGCGCATGGTCAGCACCACATGGAAGGGCAGGAAGCAGACCACGAAGATAACCAGGTTCGCCAGGACCATGCAAGAGGCTTTCCTTGTGGCTTCCGCCTGGCCCGGGTTAGCCTCGGGCCTCTGGGTCAGGGCGGTCACCACCTGCAGAGAGCAGAAGACCAGCACGGCCAGCGGCAGGTAGAAGCCGAGCAGTGAGAAGACCTCGGTGTAGGTGTTCCGCCCGGAGCGGACGGCGAAGCAGAAGCCACTGTCCTGCACGTCCAGGAACCAGCGGAGTGCCAGGGAGCCGAGGACCACCGCCCAGAGCGCGGCGCACACGGCCGCTGCCTGGCCCGGGGAGCGGAGCCCGCGGGCGCGCAGGGAGTGCCGCACGGCCACGTAGCGGTCCACGGCGATGGCCATGACCAGGCTGATGCTCATGTACCTGTTGAGCAGGAAGGTGGCCTGGGAGAGCTGGCAGAGCGGCGTGTCCTGGGAGGTCTCCTGGAAGTGCAGGAAGAAGGGCAGGGCGCAGAGCAGGCAGAGGTCGGCCACAGCCAGGTTGGCCATGTAGACGCGGGTCTCCGTCCAGCGCGGCAGGCGCCAGCACAACACCCAGAGCGCCAGGCCGTTGAGCAGCAGGCCAAGCGCCAGGAGCCCGCCCGTGTAGGTGAGAAAGACTTGGTTGACCGCTGGGGACTCCCAGGGGCTGCAGTTGCTGTTATTCATGATCCCGGGGCTGCAGAGGGGGAGCAGGGTGTGAGGTGGGTAGGCCAGCAGGGGGACCCCAGGTCCCCCACTGCCTCAGGAGCCCCAAGTTCACCTGCCCAAGGAAGACACCCCGAGAAGCCCCGAGGCACCTGTGGGAAGAGAGGACAGAGGGAGTGCACGGTCCACCTCCAGCCCCAGCCATACCGGCTCCACCCGATCTCAGGACGGGGACCCAGGGGTGGCCAGCCTTGCCTCAGCCCAGTGCCATTCTCACCAGGGGGGTTCAGAGGCAACTGCAAGACAGGGACCCCAGGGAGCCCTGGAGTCTGAAAGCTGGTAGACTGAAGGGCCTGTGGGGTCCCAGGGCAGCTCACTGCCCCCCTCCACGTCCTCCACAAACCTGGCTGCAGGAGGCACCCGCGTCCGACGCACTCCTGCTCCTCAGCAGGGCGGGCATCTCCCGACCGGGCCCTTCCTGGCTACTGAGGTCCAGGGCAGCAGGGGCCGCGGCCCAGCCCTCCAGAAAAGCCCAGCCCCTCTCTCCCTCCTGTGCTTTGTCCTCTTGCTGAGGGGACGGTGGTTGGGTGCCCGGTTCCCAGCCTCCCTCCCTCCTCCCCTCCAAGAGCCTCCCCAGCTGCCTTCAGGCTGACCTAGACTCGCCTGACGCCCCATCTGGCTCAGGAGTCCCCTTGAGTTCCCCGTGGTCAGGGCCACCCTGTGGTTCTGGTGGCCTCGGGGTGTTGCTGGGTGACCTCCACCCGGTCATCGTCAGAAGCCCCTACACGGCCTCACCCTCCACACCTCTCGCTCCCCTGCACACGCTCCATGACAGCCCAGGACTGCCAGGACCAGCTCGCCAGGGTGGGGATGGACTTGGTAAGCGGTCTGACGTTCCTCGTGTGGCCCCCTGAGCTGGGCAGCACCCAGAGGCATGGGTGTCAGACGTGTGGGACCGTGGAGCACGCCTGTGCGAGTGACAGGCACAGGCACCCTCCGGACCCCTCCCACCCCCACTTTGGTTCCTCTGGCTGGAAGGGCCTGGAGGGGTGGGGGGAGAGGCCTTCCTCCTTCCATGAGCACCAGGCCCCCTGGGGGCTCCCTGACCTTCAGGCGAGGTTGAGAAGGGGGTTCAGTCCATTGGCGGAGGAGCACCATGGCCAGGCGGGTTGGAGTCTGCTCCCCTGTCCCCCCTCACACACAGGAAGGGGAGAAGCACCCAGAGGCGGCAGTATCAGGCTCATGGGTGCCAGGGTTGGAAGTGGGGCACTCATTTCCTGAGCCACAGCCCCCTGGGAATGTCCAGGCCACAGTCCATTAGGGGAGCTGGCGCACAGACCGCAGAGAGTAGGAGCGGAAATATTCTGCCCAATTATCCCGTTAAATCCCTTCTGAATTTTTTTTTTCTCACTGATGAACTGTTTATTGAACTCTGAATGGGGTATGTATAGGGTGTCTCATTATCTCTTAGGATCTCAGGATTCAGAGAGGTGGTAAAGTGGCAATGGTGAATTTCGGAATCTGTTCTCCCAGAAGTACCTGCCGCTCTACCCCTGGTTCTGCAATGGCTGCCAGGCGGATCACCCCTCCACTGGAGCCATCCCGCTCCATTGCCAAAGCGAGAGCATTGGCAGTGAACTGCAGGCATTCTTCCTTGGTCATGCCTTCCCGGTAGGTAGCATCCACATAGCCATAGATATAGGAGCTCCCGGAGCCCCCGATGGCAAAGGGCTGTCGTACCATCATACCCCCCATGGGCACCGAGTACACCTGTCCCCCTTCTTGGGGGTCCCAGCCGGCAATGATGATTCCTGCCATCAGGTCTTCTCGGTATCGGTAACACATCTCCTTAAAGAGGCTGGCCGCTGTGTGCACCAGCGGAGGCTCATTCAGCTCAATGCTGTGGAAACCAAGCTGATAAGTGACTGCATCAGCTACTGCTTGGGTATCAGCTGCTGAGCCTGAGCGGCAGCAGAAAATACGGTCGTGAATAGGGGTCAGCTTGTCAGTCACTCCATTGGCAACGTACGACCCAGTGGTTGTTCTGGAGTCGGCTCCTAGAACCACGCCCCCATCAAATTGCACAGCCATGATAGTGGTCCCTGTGGAAACTTCCCGGTTCTCCCAGTAGGGGGCAATAGCCTCAGGCCCCCCAGCTGGTGCCGGCCTGGTTCCCCCAGCTGCTACTAAGGTGGCCGCCATCTTCCTCCTCCCTTCTGAATTTTAAGTGCCCATTTGCCAGCAATTCAAGTTTCACAAATGCATCCACTGTGTGTGAAACGTCTCTCCTCATGTTTGAAGGATTCCGCTTGTTCCCTCCTTGGTCTGTGACCGCAGGCCCACGCAGGCAGGCTCCCCAGACTCCAGAACCCACTGAGACAACTGCTGGGGTCCTCCCTGCCTGCCTGCCTACCCCCAGCCGAGAACGCTCGAGCCTGCTGGGAGCACCCGGTGATCCTGCCACGCGCACCTCCGGGCCGTCTCCCCACCCAGGCGGCGTCCGGGACGACCCCTCGCTACTCTGGGCAGCGAGGCCTGCAGCAGCGGACGGTCATCGCAACCCAGGGCGCTGCCCGGGACGGCAGGAGGGGCAGGCCTGCCCCTCACCGCATGCCCTCTACCCGGACGGCTGTCTCGGGGCTGTGTCCTGCTCCACACTCGTGGGGGTGTCAGCTTCAGTCCAGCCTCGTGTGGCCCAATATTTGAAGAGAGAAAGTTAAAAAATCTAGCTGCCCTCTTTACATTTCCCCTTTTATAATGACTGTCAGGGAGAAGGACAGCAGCTCTGCAAGATTATCAGGGTGCATCTGACACTTGGAGGAAATGCCCTGTTCATGGGGCCTCTCCCTTGTGAAAAAGGTTTGGGGGCTCAAGTCCCAAGGTCCAGCTCAAACAGCATGGGGTCCCCAGAAGCCATGGCAACCCATTCAGGTCCTGCCTGCCCCAGGCGAAGGCGCGGGGCCCCTGGGCAGGGGTGGGGGGTGGCCGGGGCTCAGACCGCTCAGCTTCCTGCTGGGGGAGGCAGCCGCGGGCGGGGGGCAGCACCCCAGAGGATGTGCTTCCTGCTCCCACAGCGGGGTGGGAAGCCACCCTCGGTGCGGCAGAGGTGCCTTCGCCAGTCCCACACCCTAAGTGGGATCTGGGGCAGAGAGTGGAGTGCTGATCCCTGTTGTCCGGGTGCCAAGGGGTCCTCTGGAGCTGGGACCCCAACTTAGAAATAGCCCAGGGCCCGGGATGAGTTTCACAAAGTCGCGTTCGCTGTGCTAGGGCCCCCTCAGACCCCTTCTCTCCCAGCTTCAGACGCTGGTCTCAGCCCATGAGAGACTTCAGAGGCTCGAGTGAGGGGAGCCCAGGTCCCAGGATCACCCTAAGTTCCTCTGCATTCCGGCCCACGAGTGACGTCCCGGTGCCAGATCATCAGCCCCCACAGGGCTGTCCTACAGGTTACCCTGCTGAGGTTCAGAACCCCGGCACAGCCTTCACCTGCTGAGACCCCGTCACCCTCACCCCCTGAGACCCCGTCACAGCCCTCACCCCTCTAGACCCCATCACAGCCCTCACCCTCTGAGACCCCGTCACAATCCTCACCCTCTGAGACCCCTTCACAGCCCTCACCTCTGAGGCCCCCTCACCCTCACCTCTGAGACCTCGTCACGGCCCTCACCTCTGAGACACACTCACCCTCACCCTCTGAGACCCCGTCACAGCCCTCACCCTCTGAGAACGTGTCACAGCCCTCACCTCTGAGGCCCCCTCACCCTCACCCGCTGAGATCCCATCATAGCCCTCACCTCTGAGATCCCGTCATGGCCCTCACCTCTCTGAGAACGCGTCACAGCCCTCACCCCTCTAGACCCCATCACAGCCCTCACCCTCTGAGACCCCGTCACAGCCCTCACCTCTGAGACCCCCTCACCCTCACCCTCTGAGACCCCATCACAGCCCTCACCTCTGAGGCCCCCTCACCCTCACCCTCTGAGACCCCGTCACGGCCCTCACCTCTCTGAGAACGCGTCACGGCCTTCACCTCTCTGAGAACACGTCACGGCCCTCACCTCTGAGACCCCGTCACAGCCCTCACCTCTGAGACCCTGTCACGGCCCTCACCTCTCTGAGAATGCGTCACGGCCCTCACCTCTGAGACCTCGTCACGGCCCTCACCTCTGAGACACCCTCACCCTCACCCTCTGAGACCCGTCACAGCCCTCACCCTCTGAGAACGTGTCACAGCCCTCACCTCTGAGACCCCGTCACAGCCCTCACCTCTGAGGCCCCCTCACCCTCACCCTCTGAGACCCCGTCACAGCCCTCACCCTCTGAGACCCCCTCACCCTCACCCTCTGAGACCCCGTCACAGCCCTCACCCTCTGAGACCCCGTCACGGCCCTCACCTCTCTGAGAACGCGTCACGGCCTTCACCTCTCTGAGAACACGTCACGGCCCTCACCTCTGAGACCCCGTCACAGCCCTCACCTCTGAGACCCTGTCACGGCCCTCACCTCTCTGAGAATGCGTCACGGCCCTCACCTCTGAGACCTCGTCACGGCCCTCACCTCTGAGACACCCTCACCCTCACCCTCTGAGACCCGTCACAGCCCTCACCTCTGAGAACGTGTCACAGCCCTCACCTCTGAGACCCCGTCACAGCCCTCACCTCTGAGACCCCGTCACAGCCCTCACCCTCTGAGACCCCCTCACCCTCACCCTCTGAGACCCCGTCACAGCCCTCACCCTCTGAGACCCCGTCACGGCCCTCACCTCTCTGAGAACGCGTCACGGCCTTCACCTCTCTGAGAACACGTCACGGCCCTCACCTCTGAGACCCCGTCACAGCCCTCACCTCTGAGACCCTGTCACGGCCCTCACCTCTCTGAGAATGCGTCACGGCCCTCACCTCTGAGACCTCGTCACGGCCCTCACCTCTGAGACACCCTCACCCTCACCCTCTGAGACCCGTCACAGCCCTCACCTCTGAGACCCCGTCACAGCCCTCACCTCTGAGGCCCCCTCACCCTCACCTGCTGAGATCCCGTCATAGCCCTCACCTCTGAGATCCCGTCATGGCCCTCACCTCTCTGAGAACGCGTCACAGCCCTCACCCCTCTAGACCCCGTCACAGCGCTCACCTCTGAGACCCCCTCACCCTCACCCTCTGAGACCCCATCACAGCCCTCACCTCTGAGGCCCCCTCACCCTCACCCTCTGAGACCCCGTCACAGCCCTCACCTCTGAGGCTCCCTCACCCTCACCTTCTGAGACCCCATCACAGCCCTCACCTCTGAGACCCCCTCATTCTCACCCTCTGAGACCCCATCACAGCCCTCACCCCTCTGAGACCCTGTCACAATCCTCACCCTCTGAGACCCCTTCACAGCCCTCACCTCTGAGGCCCCCTCACCCTCACCCTCTGAGACCCCGTCACAGCCCTCACCTCTGAGACCCCCTCACCCTCATCTTCTGAGACCCCGTCACAGCCCTCACCTCTGAGGCCCCCTCACCCTCACCCTCTGAGACCCCGTCACAGCCCTCACCTCTGAGGCTCCCTCACCCTCACCCTCTGAGACCCCGTCACAGCCCTCACCTCTGAGGCTCCCTCACCCTCACCCTCTGAGACCCCATCACAGCCCTCACCCCTCTGAGACCCCGTCACAGCCCTCACCTCTGAGGCCCCCTCACCCTCACCCTCTGAGACCCCCAGGCCCTGCGGGCACTGACCTGACTCACTGGTTCCCTCCTGAGTTGCTGACGCCTCGATAGGTGCTGCCGAAGGGCTGGTAGGGAAGCAGGGCTGGGTGAGCCGGGCCCCCACACTGTCCTGACCGCACCCCTCCTTAACGCCGGCAGGCAGTGGGCGGGCTGACGACACTGACAGCGAGTGGGACTCCCCACTGCCTTTGCTGGCCCAGACCTGGGCTGCCTGGGAGATTCCTGGGGGAGGAAGTGGGGTTCCAGCGGCCACCTCTGTTGACAGCCCAGAGAAGCAGTGGTCTTTCTGGAGACAGCGGAGCCGGTGGTCCAGACTTCCCGTGGTGCAGAGGCACCTTCCTGTCATCTCCTGGGCGGGGCTGCGTGTCTGTGGTCAGTGTCCCCACCCACCCCCGCGTCCTGGCAGGAAGGCCCTGCACCTTCACACGCAGAGCACCCCGGCACAGCCCACTCCAGGTGGGCTTCCTGCTGCTCTGCGCCAGGGCCCCACTCCCCCCGCCCCTCCACCAGCTAGCCTCCTCACCGCCCCTCCTCAGAAGCAGTCCTTGCAGACCACCCACTCCCCTTCTAGAATGTTCTCTCCGCCGCTTCTCCAGGCCCTCCGGAGTTCCATTCCCTCCCCTCTGAGCTCAGGGCCCCAGATCCTGCTCAAAGGGACTGCTCTGCCCTCCCCCTGCACCTGAGGGCAGCGCCTTGTCCCCTGGGCCTGGGTCCTCTGCACCGGACCTCAGCACCTCTCCAGGCATGGCCTGCGAGGGGCTGGGGCGAGTTCGACCCCACGCTGCCCGTTTCCACAGGCAGAACCTGGGGCTCCATGAAGGGGCCTGGCTGGCCTCCTGACTTGGGAACCAGGTACCGTGCCCTGAGGAGGGGCCCGGGCTCACCCTGCAGACCAGGCTGGAGGGTCCCACTGCGGGCTCCTCCCCTGCCATCCCTCCTCCCTGACCATCCCCTCCCCACCAGCCCCCAGCCTCCGCAGCCCTCTGCGCCCCTCTGCAACCTGGCGTTCAGCCGTAGAACTTCTAAATTTTTCTCGTGTCCTTGTCCTGGCCTGTGGCTGGGACCCCACCTGCTCCTGCACAGAAGGGCCTCAACAAGTCCCATTCACGGGTCAGCAGGGCCCAATGGAGGAATCCAACTGGGTGGCCAGCGCCCGGAAACAAGCAGAGTCTTGGCCCAGAGCAGGCGCATGTAAACATGAGTGGCTGCAGCCTGGAGTGGGGTGCAGCCCCCCCACTGCCCCAGCCCACAGGCCTGCAGCCGACTCACCATCCCCCCACTGTGGAGGGAGGGCAGGGCTGGGTCCTTTCCTCCAGGTCCACTGGGTCCCCGGGGATCCAAGAGGCCTGGCCCCACCAGGCAGGCTCCAGAATCCAGACGAGACCCATTCCCACTGCCTGGGCGGGCCCAGAACCCTAAGGCGCCCTCCGCAGAGCAGGGCAGGGCAGGGCCCGTGGCCCTGCTACTTTCTCAGGACTCGGGCTCAGACAGAGCTCCGTCTCCAAGGCCCCCCACCCTCACTGCTCAGCGCCCCTGGTCCCAGCACCTGCGTCTTCTGCTTCACACCTGCCCGAGCCGTGGTGGCAGCCTGACGGGGGCAGGAGTCCTAGTGCCTGACTGACCGCAGGGGGCTCCTCCTTCCCGCGTGTCCTGGCCCTTCACCCCTCGGAATGGTTGGAGTTTGAGAGAAAAGACTGCCAGCAACACTGCAGCGGGGGGACATGCTCCTGAGATTGGAGGTTGGCGTCACTGCCTTGTCCAGATGCAACCTCTTCCAGGGAAGTGCCCGGGAGGCAGAGTCGCTCCCAAGGAGGCTGCTGGGCGTGCCCAGAGCCCCCAGCCCCATCCCACCCTCACCCCCGGGAACCTCACTGCCTCCGGGACCCACTGTCCTCCACCACCCCCACCCCAGGCCTCCTCATCTGGAGTGGGAGTGATGTCCCCACCATTGGGGGCCAGGAGGGAACAAAGCCCTGAGAGTGGGGGACTCAGGACTGACCCGGAACGAGGGCGAAGGACCCGAGGACACCCAGGTGGGATGTCACGAGCTGCGCAGTGCGGCCACTGGCCGAGGGCCTTGACCCCCCAGCGGTCCCCCCAAGGGCTCCGTGACTCTGCGCCCACCCTGGTCTTGCTCTACGCTGGTCTGCCCCTTCCATGCCCCCCTCAGCCGCCTCACTCGTGGGCACCACGCTGGACACGGCAGGCAGGGCGGTGGGGAGATGGCCCAGGGGGATGCGCCTGGCACAGGGGGAGCCTACACTTACCTCGTGGGGTTCACGGAGGGCAGGTCAGGACCAGGACGCTTCCAGAAGGAGGCAGCCCTGAAGCTGGACCTAGGAGGTGGGCGGGGCGGAGTGGGGAGGGGCTTCCTGGAAGATGGAAGGGCGGGAGCCCTGGTGTCTCCGCGCTGGAAGGGGAGGCTGGAGGCGGGGTGGGCCAGCCTTTCACAATCTGGGCGCAGCTGGGCGGAGGGGAGTAGCGCTGTCCGTGGGGAGATGTGGCCACTGGTGTGGGCGCAGGGGCTCCCGTCACCGCCGCCCCCCAGCCTGAGGCAAAGGAGTGCTGGTCTAACACAAGCACTGCTTCTTCGTTCTTCCTGGACCTTGCCTTATCTCCGGTATAGTGCAGGGAGGACAGTTTACCCTGATTACTGACCGTGGGCCCTTAGATGTGGGGGTGGGGGGTTGGGGGCAGCACCTCACTAGCCTCGCCCAGCCCCAGCCCTGCCCCAGGCACCTGGGGAGGGGACTAAGGACACCCCGGGGGCCGGGCCTCTGGGCCTTGGGCTCAGCCTTTTGTCGCTGCCAGCACTTTCTGTTCCCCTCTTCTCAAAACCAGGTCTGGGAAACAACCCCTCCACCCCCACCCCGCCACTGGTCTGGCCCCAAACCTGCCTGGGGCCTGTTATTTGCCATGCTGTCACTGTAGCGGGCAAGGCAGGGGTGACTATGGGACACCACGCGGGGGTGGGAGGAAGGGGGGACACCTGGGAAACTGACGGGGATGGGGACGCTGCCAGGGGAAGGGGAGGAGGGGGTGGATCTGCAGGTCGTCCCACCCTGGGCCTCACAGCTCCCCTCACCCCAGGCTCACTGCTCACCCTTGGGGGCCATCCTAACCCCTCCCCGGGCTCACCACTCACCCCTGGGGGGCCCTCATCACCCCACCCCAGGCTCACCACTCACCCCTGGGGGGCCATCCTCCCCCCACCCCGGGCTCACCACTCACCCCTGGGGGCCCATCCTCACTCCACCCTGGGCTCACCACTCACCCCTGGGGGGCCATCCTTCCCCCACCCCAGGCTCACCACTCACCCCTGGGGGCCCATCCTCACTCCACCCCAGGCTCACCGCTCAGCCCGAGGGCCATCCTCCCCACCACCTCACAGGAAAATGAGGCCCCATCTTGAGGAAACACCCTTGAACTCCACCCCAGACCTGAAGATCGCAGGCCGTGTTCAACTAGGCGGTCTGCTCCTCCCTCCCCGCCCCCCCGACTCTGTCCACAGACCCTGGGCTCAGGTGTCCCCTGAGCCGCCAGACCGGCCTCAGGGTCCCAGAGGAGGGCAGGAGAGGGAGGGCACCGGACCCTTCCTGGCCAGGCTGCCCACTCGCCTCCCCTCCCTGGGGCCCCCCCACCACGGCCGCTCCACCTCCAGGCGCGTCTCTCGGGGGTCTGGGACTCCGCCCCCCATCCGCTGTTTCTTCCTGGACTCCGTCTCCCTGCAGGCTGGTCCCTCGTAAAGGGGCAGTTGGATGAGCCCAGCTCTGCCCCAGCCCCCGAGGGACCCCGCAGGCCTGGGCTGCCGAGAGCCACCTGGGGATCAGCCAGCGTGGGCGGGGGCCAGGGGCCGGCTTCTGTCCTCGGGCCCATCATGGTGCCCTGGCTGGACCCCTGCCTGCCGGGCGCTCGCCCAGGAGTCACTGGCCGAGCTGACACAGGGGACGGGACTTTGCTGTAAGACCAGGCGGCCTCGGTCCTCGTGGGGCAGGCAGCCTGGGCGTCTCTGCACTAGACTCCCTAGTTCAATATACAGTTGAACTTTTCCATGAAACAAGTTTATAAAAATGGAGAAGTGGTGTGCAGTGGGGAAGGCTCTGCAGCGGGTGGGCGGTGAGCTGGCCCCTCAGCCCCGGGACGTGGGCGTGGGGCTGCCTGCCTCGGTGCGGCTCTTTGACGTGAGACGCCGTCCACTCGAGACTTGTCCTGTGTGAGGCTCACCCTGCCGCCGCTGCAGGCCCTCTCATGTGACCCGTGACTCATCTCTGCACACTGACCACCGGCCTAGCAGATGGAGACTGCCGCGGAAGTGGTTGCGGGGCAGGGAGAGCCAAGGCCCTGACCCGACCCGCGGGGGTGGAGGGCAGGGGACAGGCACTTAGCCCCAGCGGCTCTGCCACCTGCCTCCTCGGGTGAGAAGGGCTGGGCGCCAGGGACCCCGCCTCCCGCCCTCCCCCACTGGGCTGGTGGCAGGGACCCCCTGGGCCACCAGGGGCTCCCCCCGGAGCAGCCCCTGCAGCAGCCGCCTCCATCATTCCAGGAAGCGCTCTGTGGCCCTGAGACCTGCCTGCTCACCCACCCGCCCCCCCACCTCCTGCCACCCCGCCCCGCGGTGTCCTTCACTCAGCACCTGTGGCTGAGCGGGGAGGGGGCTGGTGGGAGGGCCCAGCAGCCCACCCTCAGGGCCCGGATGTGCCCGGGGCGGGGGACAGGCCCCCTGCTGTCCCCACACAGGCTCCTGTTCCCGCTCCAGGGACGGAGTCGGGGGGACACAGCTGGGCCCAGGGGAGCAGCGGGCTTGGAAACGCTGAGGAGGATCCTGTGGCCATGCTGCCTGCCTGCCCGCCCGCGGCCTCTGGCTCGTGCTGCCCCCCGGGCCCTCCTGCCTCCTACCCTGGAAGGACAGGTGCCGAGGGGCCCAGGGACGACCGCTCTGTTTCCAGAAAGGAGCCAGCACACCCAGGCAGCGGAGCCCGGAGTCCTCTGGTCAGACGACCAGAGCGCCAGACGCCCTCCAGGCTCTGGACCCCTGCTCCATCTATGACCGCCTCTCAGCCCAGGGGCCCGGTGGCCGAAGGGCACATGTCCAGGGCGCGCACTCCCACTCCAGCGCCCGGGGCGGGCAGCCCTGCTATCCAGCTGTCATGGTGCCCCTGCGCTCTCACCACACGCTTCCCCGAAGCCCCCCAGACCCCTCGTGCTCCCAGACAGACCCCCTCAGCCCCACTGTCCTCTGTAGCCCCTTCCACAGCCCTTCATCCTGGGACCCCAGGGTGCCCGCAGAGGCTGAGCCAGGCGTGTCCAGTCCTTCCCCAGCTGCGGGGCCTGCGCCAGGGAGAGACACCACACAGGGCAGCGAGGGACGCTGGGGCCCCTGAGGCGTTGAGAGGCTCTGCTGGCCTGGCCCGGCTGCCCCCAGGGTCCCCTCCGGGTCCCCCCTGGGGAGTAGTCGGGCCTGAGAGGTGGACCTGTCGTCCTGGCCCACAGAGTCAGACCCACAGGCCGGGCAGGGGGCCCTGGGCTTCCCAGCGCCTGGTCCTGACACCCCACTCTGCTAACACTAGCATTACTCAGGGACCAGGGCCGGGGCAGCTCCCCTCCTGCAAACCCACCTCAGACGCCACAGGCAGACAGAGCCCAGGGCAGGGATGCGTGAGCACCACCCTGCCTCCCTGGCCTTGCTGGGCTGGGGGCAGGGGTGCCCGGCGGCTCATGGGGCCTCCTCCAGGGTGACTGCCAAGCTGCCCGCTCTGCCTCCTGCTCTGAGCCCTGGGACCTCCCCCTACCATCCTCCACAGCGGTGAGGAGCTGATACAGCTGGCCGCAGGTTTCTGCCTCCCCGAGGGCTTCCTTCCCCTTTCTCTGCCCAGGGTTTGTCTGCCTGGAAGGACCACTGCCCCACACCAGCCCCACTCCTGGGGACACCGCCTCCCTGCAGCCTTTGGCCACCAGGGCCCGCCTAGTCTCGGGCCTCCCTTCCCAGCAGAGATGGCCATCTGGGCCCGCCCCGTCCAGGCAGCAGCAGCCCCTGCCCACTCTCTGCCCCCCTTCCTCTCCAGGCACCCACTCCCTGCAGGGGCCCCTGCAGCCTGACAGTGGCTCCCAGGCCCTGCTTCCCAGTGGTGACCTCAGGCTGGGGCGTCTGGTGGGCAGAAAGTGGGTGTGTGCCCCAGGCCCATCATCCTCGCGTTGAAGTTAGCACCCAGGTTCAGAGCACCCCGGGACTCTGTCTCTCCACGAGGGGGTCCTCTGCCCCCTGCTGCCCCCAAGGGCAGGCGGCCTCCAGCTCAGGCTCCTACGAGCTAGTCTGTCTGGGGGGAGCCCAACGTGATCTGCACCCCAGCGACGCTGAAGCAGGAGGCCCTCTGGAGTGTGGGCAAGATGCCAGCCGATAGAGTGGCGGCCGGACGGTTCACAGAGAAGAGACGTAAATGGCTCGAAAGGGGACCCTCAGTGTACAGGGCGTGGCAGGCCCACTCCCCGTCAGATGGGCCAAAGCCAAGTCTGACAGCCCTCTGTGGGGGTGGGACACCCTCACACACTCTCCTCTGGCATCCAACCTCCCAGAGGTCACCGGAAAGCATCCAGCTGGGCCCTTTGAACCCGTTATCCCACCTCTGGGAATCTCCATGGATGGACGGCAGAACTAGGGAGAAGGTGCTGGAGAGGCTGACCCTGCGGGGCTGTGGGGCAGCGACAGCCTGGACCCCGCTCAGACATCTGTCATGGGCTCTGGTGGCGTGGAGTCTGTCCCATCCACACCACGGAGAACTGGGCAGTTGCAAAAAGGGAAGAGAGATATTTTTGTACATGAGTATATGGTTATCTCCCGGATATACAGCTAAGTGAAAAAAAAAAGGATGTTGATGCTCATGTATTTATGTAGGAGCAGAAGATTATATTTTTACAAATGGAAGAATAAGCCATAACATTTGTTTAAAATTAAATTGCTACCTACAGGGACTAGGCAGAAAAGAGGTGAAGGGAGAGAGGGATTGAAACTAGACTTCGGTGAATGTACTTTCGTTCGTAGATTTGGCTTTGGAACCAGGTAAATATTTATGCAATTACTAAATTAAATTACATTATATTTTAAAAGGGATTCTTGAAAGCAAGGTGAAGACAATTAATTTGCAAGATCAGTTGGTAGCATAACCCTACCAAATTCTTCCAAGTGAGGACTCTGTGGGAGAGGGCGAGGGTAGGATGATTTGGGAGAATGGCATTGAAACATGTATATTACCATACGTGAAATAGGTCACCAGTCCAGTTTCGACGCATGAGACAGGGTGCTCGGGGCTGGTGCACTGGGATGACCCAGAGGGATGGGATGGGGAGGGAGGTGGGAGGGGGGTTCAGGATGGGGACACATGTACACCCATGGCGGATTCATGTCAATGTATGGCAAAACCCACTGCAATATTGTAAAGTAAGTAGCCTCCAATTAAAATAAATAAATTTATATTTTAAAAAATCCAGTATTTCAATTGTATATCCATACAACCTGAGGACAAAGAGAATGGCCAGAATGTTCCATTGTCTGTAAACACCTCCCAAATATTTCAAAAACATTGTTTTGCCTGTACATCTGTGCCACTCAATGACTTTTTTAAAAGTTCATCTTAAATTATTTTCAGTAACCGTGTTGTTGATAGTAGTGTGAGGTTTTTGAGACTGTTGTGCTATGGGATAAAGCAAGTGAATAATTGTGTCAGGCATTGTTGAGACTTCTGCTGTAGGATAAAGGTGTATCATCAATAATGAAACTTAGTAAAAACCAAGCAGATCTGGGGCTTCCCTGGTGGCCTAGTGGTAGAGAGTCCACCTGCCAAAGCCTGAGACACGGGTTCAATCCCTGATCCGGGAGGACCCCAGGCGCCTCGGAGCAGCAGAGCCCGTGTGCTGCTCCCATTGAGCCTGGTCTCTAGAGCCGAAGCCCATGCACCCCAGAGCCCGTGCTCTGCAGAAACAAACCATCGTAACAAGAAGCCCTTGCTCCATACCGGAGAGTAGACCTGCGTGCCACAGCTAGAGAAAAGCCTGTGCAGCCACGACCACCCAGGAGAGCCAAAAACAAACAAGGAAACAAAAATCTACTGAAAAAAGAAAAAAAGCAATTTGAGTGAATCTGAGTGAAAAAAAGTGAATTTGAGTGAAGAGTATCAGTTTGTACTCGTACTGTGTCTTGTCTTAAAAGTAAAGCTTCTTGGTTCTGACTGCTGATAAGGCTTAGAAACCACCATGCCTAACAGCCAGATTGTGGTCTCTAGCTAGCATTTCTCATGAAGAGGAAGGGGGCCTGCAGAGAGAAGTAGATGCTTTTAGGTCTGGGTTGGGGAACAGATAAGATGCATCCAGAACGGCTTTTCATACCAGAGAGCAAAGCAGATCAAGATGGTCGCCAGCAACAAAGGGACTCTAGAGCCAAAGCAAGCTCACTCCCAGTGGCCAAAGACAGGATCGTCTAATATCCATAGGGAGAATAATTTTTAACAGATTGAAACACAGCGTTTACATCCATGAATTTTCAAGTTGTTTCATGAAGTGGTCCCGCCAAACCCCCAAAATCGCACCTGAACCTGATCTAAGCTCTGAAGTTGGTCACCCATGACAGGAGCTGCAGTGGGCCCAGAACACAGCTGGCGACACCCCAGGGGTGCCCACGGTGAGCCCTGGTCTGGGGACTGCTCCACACGGCCAAGCCCTGAAGACAAGAGTCAAGAGGGGACGTGCAGGGAGGAGGGGAGCATGGACTGGGAGTTTGGGGTTAGCAGATGTAAACTCTTATAAACAGCAAGGTCTTCCTGTAGGACACAGGGAACTATTTTTGGTATTCTGTGATAAACCATAATGGAAAAGAATATGCAAAAGACTGTATATATACATATATATGTATACACACACACACATACTGGGAATGATTGAGGGCAGGAGGAGAAGGGGACAACAGAGGACGAGATGGTTGGATGGCATCATCAACTCAATGGACATGAGTTTGAGTTAACTCTGGGAGTTGGTGATAGAGAGGGAGGCCTGGCGTGCTGCGGTCCGTGGGGGTCGCAAAGAGTCGGCCATGACTTAGTGACTGAACAACATGCATACGTATGTGTATATGCATGACTGAATCCCTTTCTGTGCAGCAGAAATTAACACACATTGTAAACCAGCTGTGAGAAAAAGAAGTGAAAATGTTAGTCTCTCAGTCACGTGTGAACCCTTTGCGACCCCACGGCCTGTAGCCCACCAGGCTTCTCTGTCCGTGGGATTCTCCAGGCAAGAATACTGGAGTGGGTAGCTGTGCCCTTCTCCGGGGGATCTTCCCGACCCGGAGATCAAACCTGGGTCTCCTGCACTGCAGGTGGATTCTTAACCGTCTAAGACACCAGGGAAGCCCAAACTACACCTCAGTATTTTTCAAAAGAGGGGAGGTGAGGAGATGGGGGACACTCGGTGGTACGCCTGGCAGGAGAGGACGCGGACCTCGGGCCTGCCGAGCTGCCAGTGGCCAGGCAGCCGGGCGCTGAGTGAAGCACCATGGTCACAATCCAGCTTCTTTTCACTCAGGCGAGGGCACAGGCAAGGGCGGGGAGGAAGCTCAGGGCTTCTCGGAGCTCCACTCTGCCCTGTGGGACCGCGGCTGAGTCGGAAAACATAGCGGGCCTTCTCTACTGAGGAGCCCCCCCGCCCCGTGTGGACCTGGGAGTGCGGGGCACTGAGGGGACAGGCTGAGACAGGAAGGAGAGTCGGGGCAGAAGCACCTCAACCAGGTCCCCCCAAGGAGGCCTCGATGGCGATGCCTGATGTCCAGACTGGGAAGGCAGGGGCGTGAGGAGCACGGCCCGGCTGGGCAGGGCTGACTGCACTCTCTGAGAAGCCGGTAGGTGAGGCCTCGCCATCACACAAGGGATTCGGGATTCGGGCCTGCAGCCGGAACCCTCAGATCCCAGTGCATCCAGACAAACAGTTTTAAAGGTGCACGCGACAGAGAATGTGAACGTTGGCTGCTTGCCTGATTTGGGGTGGTCATGACCTCGCAGTGTATATTTTAAAGCCCTTGCTTTCATTTATGCTGAAGTTTTGATAGATGCCCTGATATGATATCTGGTATTTGTTTTAAAACCTCCCCACTGATAGAGCAAGGGCAGATAAAGCTGTGAGCCATTTGATCACTGTTGAAGTTGGGGGTGACGGGCACTTGGAGTTCATCATAGCCTTCTATTATGAAAATTATGTCTACTGGAGATTTTCCAAAATAAAAAGCTTTAAAAAAGATGGCTAGCACCCCACTAAAAATCCACAGACAGTATGGAAAGTATATTTGGGACTTTTGACTCCAAAGTGGTGTAGGAGACGGGGTTCTCTCAGAGGTCCTTAAAAGATGAGAAATCCCCGAGCATCAGAGGCTTGAGGGGAAAATGGCAGAGGGAAACCCTGGCCAACCTGTGCCCGGGAGAGGACTCCTGCCCACCAGCGACTGGACGGGCTGTCTGAGCAGGGGGCGGGGGCAGGGCAGATGGGAGAGCTGCACTTGGCTGACTTTCGGATGTGGTTGGTGCAGTACAACCCCCACCACCTGTGCACATGTGTGTGCGTGCACGTATGCACACAAACACATGGATGCATATACATATGCATACACCAAACACAGAGGCACAATCACAGGTACACATACATGTATGCACATATTGGTATACACGCACACACGCATGCGCACATACAGCAGCTCGGAGCCAATTCATGGGCCCTACGCTCGCACCTGCTCACCGTCACCCTGTGCTCTCACCTCCCGCCTGTCCTGGGCCCCTCACCGCAGGCCCCGTTTGCTCCCCTTCCCGCTTCTGCTGAGCCCCCTCTGGCAGGCACCAAGCTGAGCGGCCAGGCTCCTGCTTGAGGTCAGAGTCAGGCTGTGCAGTGCAGCGTGCTGGGGCTGCACTTCTAGGAAGTCAGCAACGCAACGGGGCGGATTGTCAGATTGCAGGGATGCGGAAAGCCGGTGGGTTGGGTGCTGTTCTGATTAGCCTCCGGGACAGGGTGGGGCCCGGGGAATCTGCTGCCCGGGGGCCGCTGGCTGCCTGAGCAGCTGCTGGAGCAGGAGGGAGAGGACTTGGGGGACCGGTCCCCAGGGAAGCCCTGCAGGCCAAAAGCATGGGCCCCTCGTCCTCCCTGGTCCTGCAATGCACCCCCGTACTTCACCCTCTGGAGAAGACTGGCCTGGGTCTGCTCACTGCCTGCCTGCCGCCCACCCCCGCCGGGCGCAGCTGTCTGCAGGGCCTGGCTAGAGGATATACCATGCCTCAAGCCCACCAGGCCCAAGTTCTCCCGAAAGACATCCACACACACACTGTCTGCCTCCTCAATTCCTCTGCCTCCACCACTGTGTGGGACCCCTGGGACCAGGAGACCCTCCATGGTCAGCACCCAGAAACA